TCATATGGAACTGGCAACCAGGCTTGGAAATTGGACTCCGGGGGCCTGATTTTCAGAAGTATTGAGCACACACAACTCCAGTGGAGGACAGTGGGAGTTGCTAGTGCCCAACACCTCTGAAAATGAGGTCCCATGTGTATATAGTGAGCTGTATCTGATTTATTTATCTCAGACATATTTGCTTAATAACATACTACATATGCCATCTCTGTTGATGGACAGCACTGAAAACAACTTTCCTGAAGTTAATGTGAGGAAACTAAGGATGGCCTCATTTATATGTATGCCCTGACTTTCTTATACCTTATGTAGTGAATCTGCTGAGCGGTAATAGGTAGTAGCAGCAATGGGGTGAATCTGCTGCTACTCTCTGGCTCCTGACTGGAGGATAAGTAAGCCAGGGGGGGAAGGTTCAATGGCAGTTAGGAGAATATTTGGAGACTTGGGGACACAGTAGTGGAGGCACCTGTTCCTGGTGACTGTTCAGAGAGTCTGAGCTCAGATATCCAGAGCTGTTTGGGTGTGATTGGTTCTACCTTGGTTTAAGAACAACAGGGCTCATTTGCATAGCCTGGCTAAGAACATGTACACGGTGCAAATAAAGTACATAATACCTGACTCTGTGACATAGTTTCTCTCAGCAGAAACTGACTTGCTGCAGGGCCCCCCAAATCCTACCACTGTACAGCTGAGGGGCACTACTTGTGTTAAAAGTGGGCTTGAGTTTCTAGTGAGAGGAATTGTGAGCTGGTATTCTGGTAAAACAAACAGCTGAGGTGTGTGCAGAAATCAAAGCTGCCCAGGAGGCACTAAATGTGGGGTAGAACACCCAGAACAACTAGAAGAGGGCCAAAACAGGGTCTGGAAGTTTCTCAGAAAGGACAGAGATGACTTGAAAACTGGCAAAATCCATTCATCTGGAAATAAAAACTTTATTGGGACAGAAGCTACAAGGTGTCCAAACAGAGATGTAGCCCAGCCACAAAATACTCAGTTGGGGTTGGCAACACAGACTGAAGAGGTGACTGGCAGCTTGCTCACCATGGACCATAACATTATGCTACCTCTGCTAGTGGAAAGCTATCCTAATGCTATAGGAGAATTCCCCATATAGTAGGATCGTTGAGTGGTACAGGATGGGGCTGGGGTGTCCCTGAGTCCCAGCAAACCCTAGTCTGGGCTCTAGAGACCAATGGTAGTCCATACACATTAGAACAACCTGGCCCAGTGTGCTGAGTACTCCAAGAATTGAAGTCTTTGGCTTTTTCACTGTACAAGCTGTGAACTACAGTTTTATACACATGCTGTGCTTAGCTCTATTATCACAGAGGATTCATTGAAAAAAATCAATGGACAGTCATTGGGGGTGGGGTGGGAAGGAATACCACATGGCCTTTCCCAAGTGAGTTCACATCACATGGCTTATCCATGTTTACATTTCTTGACCATGATCCGAGCTCAACCTCAGGGTGACCTTGAGCCTTGCATGCTAAAAGAAATAGTGCTGGTACAGCTGGAACAGGTGGGTAGACCACATAACACAGAGAGAGCTAAATATAAATGGTCTTAAATAAAGAAAAAAAAGTCTGTTCTATTAATCTGCATGTCCTGCCCTAACAACAGGACCTCATTATAATTCTGGAGGCTTTGGAAAGGCTCCAGTGCAGTATCTTCAGCACGAAGTTACCATGCATTTCAAAAGCTGAATGCACAATCATACACAATCCTATTGTCCAAATGCTTAAAAATATTGGTACAAGCCCACATCACTCACCAGCCTAGTGAAACATCCTGTGGCTCCCTGGAAAGCCATATACCAGTTGTTGCAGAGTCCACGGGTTTGAATGGGCTCCCCTCAATCTGCTTGGTCTCAAGAAGAGGAGAACGGGGTGTTGGTCACAGTAAGGGTGGCTAAGATGTACAAAATAGTGCAGAGGGCACGAAGCGAATGGACTAGAGCCGCTATAATCCCCTCAGCAGCAGAGGAGATGTGAAGGAAAGATGGTGTGGAGACATGGTGTCAAAACGAGCCAGAAAGAGCTGCAAATATTTTCAGCATGTATCAAAACCATTGTCTCATTCCAAGACAAACCAGGAAGTTGAACCATGGACTCTCAACCTTGAGTGCCCCAGACAGCTCCAAGCTATGTCATTTGGGTGAGCACTGAGTGGACATAGTATAGAGGTGTTTGTAAGAAGGGCCATTTTACTTGCAGTCTAGTTTTCTGGTCTGAATGTTTGTAGCTCACATAAACAACCAAGATGAATCATAAAAGGTTAGCGACAAGATGCTAGCTAGCATGTAAATACACCGAACCTAATCCAGCCCCCAACCTCCTCCCAACACTAATTCCTGGTACATAAAGTTAAAAATAATCTTACAAGTTTATGAAACTAGGGTTAAGATACTTACCCCTCCCCTTGGCCCCGGCTCCATCCTCCAAGAACTGGGGCCAAATCCTAGTCTCTTGGGGAAAGTCTGAATAAATAGGCTTTGGGCTGTGGAAAGCTGCCCTCTTCCTCCCATTGCTGGTCACAAAGCACTCCTCCAATTATGGAGTCACAGACCCTCTAGTCAAGGCCTTGCTCCACCATAAATTTCCCCTCTTTGCAGCTACAGAGAGAGCTGCTGAGAGGAACAGGGACTGGAGAGTCCCACTATCAGTGTGAAGACGAGAACAGAGCAGACTCTGACTGCTGTTCAGGCCTGGCATGGCAATGGTTAGGTGGGATTTTCCCCTGAGTAAGAACCACAGGAGTTGGCCCTTAATTTGGACAGATCCAAATGACATTTCTAAATCTGGGGAAATGTGACTGGCTCAGACAAGTGGTTTTGGAATCCTGAGTCTGAACTCCCCTCCAAAGTTTGGGGAGTTATTTAAACTCCATATCTGAGCCCAGACTTGAACTTTCAGTTAGGACTTCTTTCTGTAGAAGGATCTGAAACCTCCCAACTCTACCAAACATACCCAAATTTGGGGAAAGTTCAAAATCCAGATCCCAACTCGGATTCAGATTTTGGCCCAACTCTAGTTCTATCATTCTCCCTATAAATAGGAATACTTGTTTAGCAAACAACATGATTACTTTTCTCCAAGAAATAGGCTCAACAGGTCACAACAGTTAATGGAATTTAACAGTGGAGTTACACTACTTTGCACAAGGTTTTACTGTTCTTTTGTAAGGCTCAACCTGCTTTGGGCTAGTAGTCCAGCTGAAAGCGTCTATGCAATTAATGGAAGGGAATGCCCATAAGCAGTGGTCTTCTTATTATGCAGGTAATTACACTTAGTGACAGTGGCAGCAGTGACTCAGACCCAATGATAAATCTGTATTAATGTTGATTTTCAAATCCTAACACTAATTAAGTGCAACATTTTTACTGTCTTAAACACAGCATGCCCAGACATTTTTTAAAGTTGTTAAATTATATGGCCTTCATTAATTTTGGGACAAAACCCCCTCCCCTCTGTTCTGTGGCTCAAATGCAGTGAGACCAGTGCAATTCCATTGCAGGCAGGAAGGATTTATGGAGTCCATGCCATGTAGTCCAATTCCAAAGGACTTCCTATGCACTCTCATACAGGAAGTGTCCGGGGTACTGGCATGCTGGGGGAAGGAATGGAAACAGGAATGCTGTATCCTCCAATCATTGCCTCTGGCAGAGCACCAGGAACTACTGCAGCCCCAAAGTATTGGAAAATATCTCCATGCTGCTCCATGGCCTGGGCTCCCCCTTCCTGCATGGAACCCCAGCACAGCGCCTTCTTTGTAAAGGATTTATTGACACAGTGCTAACACTGCTACCATCCTACCTACTCTAGGGTGCCCATTAGTGCAGCTAAACCAGTGGTAGCACTGGTGGGAATTTTGTGCTACAACTCCCTAGAGTAGACACGTTCTTGGGCTACATTCTGTTGTCCAGGATCTGGGCTATTACCTTTAGAAGTTTTCTTTTTTTGGAATAATTAGCTGTATAAATGAATCAATGAGAACAATTTTTCATGGGGAGGGGAAAAAAAAGCAAAAATGAAGAAGTTTTTAATTCCAAATGTATCCTGGGAGATCGCCTATTCATGAAATAAATGTCCTAAACCGTCTTTATTTTAATTTCAGTTCACTTCATTTTTAAACAGAGAACTGAAGATGGATAACACTCTATGGAGTATTTTGGCAGAAAACACAGATTACTGTATTTATTGGCAACATCGTTGTTCACTGAAGTAGAAAAGAAAAAAAATCAAAGTTATTAAAAGGGGTCAAATTCCAAACTTCTCCCAGGAGTTAATCTCAGTTTTAAAGTAATTTTTCAAAAGAGGTTTTACACTTATAAGGTTAATTGGAAACTGACTCAGATAATCATTGGTTTGATACCCTGCCACAGCACATCTATCACTTCTCTCTTAGTGTTAATTTTTCTTAACATCCTTCACCACACTAGTAAAAGAACAATTTTAGCAGTGTTTTACAGACCGACACCCTGACCTTATACGTCTAGGATGCAGCAGCACTCAGCAGTCCTAAAACCGGCATAACCAATCCCAGGAGGATCAGCCAATGTAGGGAGATCCTCAGGCAGTATAGAGCCTTTGTAATGCCTCATACACCCCCTTATGCTTGTTTTAGGGAGTGTGGCTGAAAAGAAGGGGGAGTATAGCCAGGACATGACTGAACCCCAGTGGTCCCTGGCTGCTGTAATGACATTTTGGAGCCTTTGGCAGTTGGCACAAGTTACAGAGAAGCCTTGAGGTGGGTTTGGATTTTGAATACTCTCTCAATCTGGGGAGTTTGCATCGGAGATTGGGGAATACACTTATGATATACAGTATGGAAAGCAGGCCAAGTAAACAAAAATAGCGTGAGTTCTTTCACGTGGTCTGTGCATGACTAAAAGTTGTGACTGTTTGAGAACCGTTCGGTGGCTTATGTGAATGGGTTTGGTGGTTTCAGTGTCGACAGGCATCAGCCTCACCAAGCTCTCCCTCCCAACTGATACTCACTGAGGAGAACTGAATGGATGGGGCAACTGAACTCTCTCACACAGAGGGTTGTTCACTGTTCACTTCAACAAATGCCGGTGATTAACACTGGGTCAGTATTATTCATCTGTATGTTTTCTACAGAGTGGGAAACAACACATAACAAAGTTATTTCATTTTCAATGTAGCATAAATACAAAGCGGCCACCCACACGCCCTGCCCCTTATTCAAAAATTACAAGAATGAAATGCAATACAATCAGCGCTCTTCTTTCTACCAACCCCCCTCCAGCACGTATTCAAATACTACCCTGGTACGTTGGATAATATCCTTGGCAAAGGCCCAGTGAAACAAATGGAGTAACTGCTTTGTAGTTGTGTAAATAGTTTTCTAGATCACAGTGTTTCAAGCTGCTGCCTCTTAAAATGTGAGAAAATAGTTAATTTCATACAATGAATATCCCCACCCTAGAGTTTGTGGTTTTCCAAAACCACAAAATATGACTAAATATCAGCCCGGTTCTTTGGCTAATTTTTTTTTCTACACTACAGTACATACAGGCTTCTTCGATGTATAATGAATGAAATGATTGATTATACCTTTTGCTCAAGGCGAAGAAATTAATACAAACTCGTTTTATACACTCAGGATGGCAACAGCAAGCCAAGAACATTGCAGAGAGAAATACCCTCAGAAAAAAGACCTATGCTAAAATGGTTAAATATACTCATTATGAAACCATGCTTAATAGAGGACTTCGGCGCATTGGCTTGAAACTACAGCTGTAAGCTGTGCAGAGGAAATGACAACAGGATATAAAGGACTAGGGAATATTTAATATTTACTAAACAAAGGTCTTCGTTTAATCATATATCCAGTCATACTGTAAGAATTTGACAGGAAGTACCCCCCATGCTTAGACATTTAGGCAGGGCCGGTGCAAGGAAGTTTCGTGCCCCAGGTGAAACTTCCACCTTGCGCCCTCCCACCCCCCGCCCTGAGGCGCCCCCTCCGTGGCAGCCCCCCCGCCCTGAGGTGCCCCCCCATAGTAGCTCCCTCCCCACCCTGGAGAGCCATGTGGCAGCTCCCCACCCCAGCTCACCTCTGCTCCACCTCCTCCCCGAGCACGCCACCCCCGCTCTAATTCTCCTCCCCTCCCAGGCTTGCGGCGCCAAACAGCTGATTGGCGGTGCAAGCCTGGGAGGCGGGAGAAGTGGAACGGCAACCGCGCGCTTGGGGAGGGGGCGTAGGAATGTTGTAAAAAAAAAAAAAAA